GTTTTGTAACAAAAGGAGGGGAGTGGTTGATTTTACAGTCTAGGAGTGGAGGTCCCTGGGACCATCAAGTGAGAAAAGCGAATTGCGGACCCTATGCAGAGAAGCAGTGACACCAGAGATGGAGGCAGAGACGATGACATGGAGAGATGGAGCTGCTGGGGACTTTAGGCTCAGAGAGGGAGAGGGTCTGTGTGCTGACGACCAGGGGGCAGCCTTGCAGGGTGTACCTTTTGGTTGTTTGAAGGAGATTGTCATCATTGCAATGAAATGAAATAAAATAGGATGAATGTAAGGCTGATGTTCTCCCATGTAAATGATCACATAATTCACAATAAAACTTTTAAAAAAAGAAGGAAATTAAGTATTTCTATATTCAGAAAATATATAAAACTCCTACAATTCACCAATAATAAGATAACCCAATAACAAAAATAAACAAAAACTTCTCAAGAGAAGACAAATGAATAGCCAATAAGTAACATGAAAAAATAACTCAACATCATTAATCTTCAGGGAAATACAAATTAAATTAAAATGCAAAGTAAAACAAAAACTTGAGTAAAAATATTTTTGGAATACATTTTTTACTGATTTACATAAAAGTAAAATGTGCAGATCTCAAGTATGTAGTTTGATACCTTCATAGAAAGATAAAGAGCATTTGTATAATCCCAGAAATTTTTCTCATGGCCCCTTTCAGGCCAGCCACATCGCAATGGTAAGCATTGTTCCTGTTTCTGTGGCCTGTTTTTATGGCCTACTTTTGCCTGTTCTTGAATTTCATATAAATGGAATTCTATAATATATACTCTTTTTCATCTAAATTCCTGGTGTGGCGCTGCAGGATAATGTGCTAGACCGTGAGGTCAGTTTGAACTGTAAGGTCGGCAGTTCCAAACTCTCATCAGCTGCTCTTTGAAAATCCTATACAGAGTCACTATGAGTTGGAACTGACTCAACAGCACTTAACAACAATAACAACAATAATATGATATATACTCTTTTTTACCTAAGTTCTTTTATTCAGCATAGTGTTTTTTGAAATACATCTATAATGTTGTGTATATCAGTAAGTGGCTCCCTCCTTTTTATTGTTAATTATGATTGCACATGAACTACAACCTTCAGTTATGGATTGCACCTCAATACAATCAAAAAAAAAAAATTATCACAATTGAATCAGGTTTAATTGTAATCATTTCAGTTGGTCCTAATGTTGAGTGGATTTTCATGTACCTTTACTGGCCATTTTTCCAGAAGAAAACATCTCACTGGAGTATGATACACCACCAGGAGGCATATGTACATATACTACTTAAAAGGGATTGAAAAAAAAAGACTAAAAAGCCTACTGAACCCCCTTCCAAGAATAAGACTCAATGGGAATACA